CTCCAGAACACCTACGCCCTTCCTCGGCAGAACTCCACCTCCCAAGAGACAACAGGGACCACAAAAAATGGGACACACCCTGGCTCTCCTCTACATATTTGGACTCTTTACCTTTTAGGCTGGCCTTTGCAAGGTTCCTCCATGTGCTGAATGTTTTAAGAGAGCCATTGTTGGGACCTCCGCACAGCCATACTTTGTATCCTTCACCTACCAACAGGTCAAGTGTTACATCGACTCATATACTCCCAGGTTTGTGAGGTTGCTGGTAAACAATTCTGAAAGTCCCAGAGTAAAGAAAACAATACAGGCTACATTTGTCATGGAAAGCAGGGTAATAGGTCTTGTCTTGGTAGCATGTTTGATGTTACCCTGCCTGGTTCCCCTGATATTGTGGTCCATCAGGACCATTATAGAGGCCACTACAGAGAGAAAAACAGCTGCCCATGTAATGATGATACGAAAATACAAACCCCTAAATCAAGATGATGCTCTTTGATCCTAGGTGGATCCAAGCATCAAAGGGGGGAATACTGTAGCAGGGAGGAGGGACAAAAATAAAAAGGAAACAAGGAAGTCTGTGTTCTGATAATGTAGCAGGGAGAGGGGATAGCACAGCAGGGAGATAAAAAAAATCTAAACATGAAGAAGGTCATGTAGCACTGGAAGTAAAGTAGCCAATAGAGTTACATGCAACCACAAAGGGGTTAAACCTTGCTTTCTGCTTCTATAGCCTGCTTGCAAGGGTATATACGGTGAGACCCCTTTGTTCTCAGGGGTCAGTCTTTGGATGTGAATCCTCTGAGCCACTGCTGGCACACTAATAAATAATGCTTCCTGAAAAGCCCTGGTGTCTGTCTCTGTTTGAGATTCCCGTAACATTCCCACTGGAGATAAAGGCAAATGGAAAGATCTGCTCATTGCCTGGAACTGTGACCTGTACTGGGCTTGGATGCACATCGCTAATTTTACCAGGACACTATAACATCTGCAGTAACTCATGACATCTAAAACCCACTGTTTCCATTTCCAAATCTTCCCCTTCAGTTTGTTCCTGCCTTACAAATGCAGGAAACAAGTCTCTTTACATACTCTTCTTTCATGCCTTAACTCTCTTTCTTCTCTACTTTCTTCCAATCCATTTCTTATTTATAGCATATCCCTAATACAATAGCCCTTTTGTGACTTACCACATCTTAATAATTCCACTTCTTCTAAAGAAAGCCTTTCCCCAGTTATTTACACATTGAAGAGTACTCACCTCCAAGCCTTCATAAACCACCTCTTTCTAAGCAGCAATGAAATTACTTAGTGCCCCCAGAATGAAACATACAAATTACAAACTACTTTCTAAAGCCAGACATAGAGAATATAGCATAAAAAAAAGTAATGCAAGTTCATTATTCATTCATATTTACTATGTAAAATGAAAGTTTCATGAAGCTTTGAATAATATATATTTCTTCTATTATACAGGCAACCATTCATCTGTAAAGGGCAATGTATCACTAATAATACCCTTCCTACATCAGAATTTCTGGCCACGAAGGGAAAGTGTTGAAACTTACTCTGTGGAAAGATTAGGATTATGGTCTCTGAAGGGCTTCCCTGATGCAGGACAACTAGCCCTTAGATCAACAATAGCAAATGTAATCCTTAAAACATACTGGGCTTTGGAGAACATAGAGAAACCAATCAGGAATTTAGAAATTAGTAGAAGAAGAGATAGAAACAGAGAGGGAGGTAGAAGAGTGAGCCAAATCTGATCTGTGATCAATAAAAAAGAAAAAGAATATAGGATGGGGCTGGGGATGTAGTTCAGGGGTAAAGTGCTTACCTAGCATGCACAAGGCCCTGAGTTCAACCCCCCTCACGATGCTGCCACAAAAAAAAGGGAAAGGGAAAAGAAAAGGGGGAGGGAAGGGGAGAAAAGAAGAGAGGAGAGGAGAGAAGACGAGAGGAGAGGAGAGAAGACGAGAGGAGAGGAGAGGAGAGAAGACTGTGGCATGCCAGGAACAAATGTTACTATAGGCACTGGGATTTACAGATGTTTGTTCCCTCCATACACACCCCCACCCCCGGCCATTCTCCATGATAAGTTTGGAATACTGATCCTGAAATTCCATTAATAAACCAGGACCCTCAAAAGGAAGCTAAATTAATACCATTCAAGACCATTCCCAGGTTCCTGGCACAGCAAAGACAAACCATATGGAAAAAAAAAAACAAGATTAACAAATATTAAATGTGTGCTCAATTAATATTGATCTCAAAATCAAATATCACAAAATATGCAAGAAAAGAAGTCAGGATGAGTGAAAGATAAGTGAAATAGCCAACAGATTTAGACCACTAAGGCTTTCAGATCTGATATAAATTATCAAATACACAAACATTTAAAGAAATTTTAAAAGGCCTAAAAATGAACAAGGATCAAAACAAGACTATCAAAAGCAACCAGCCACATATGAACACAAACCAAAAGAGCTGTGAAAGAGAAAAAAATCTCTATAATTTATAGGGACCCAAATAAAAAAGAGTTAGTAAACTAAAAGAAAGAACTGAAGAGATTTTCCATAATACAATACAAAGAGTTTAAGGGAGATGAAAATAAAACCAAGCTTAAGAGATAGGGAAGACATCAAGTTTTAATAAGAATCCTAGAAAGTATGAACAGAAAAAATTTTTAAAAAGTGTCAATATTTGAGAAGACAATACTTTAGAATTGTACAGACTTTTCCCCCATTTTCATTATTCCCTACAAAATTCAGTATAACTGCTACTTACATAGCATTTACATTGTATTAGACGTTATAACTAATCTAGAGATGCTTTAAAATATACTGGAGAATGTGTGTAGGTTATATGCAAATACTGTGCCATTTTATATAAGGGACTTGAATATTCACAACTGCACAGGTGTCCTTGAGTTAATTCCCCATGGATATCACTGATATCTATAACTGAAAAAGAAGAAATAATTGACAATAGGCTCTACAACCTTTATAGCAAGACCAGCTACAAACAGTAAGGGGAAGGAAAACAGACCAACCTCAGGTATGAGCATAGACCCATAAATACAAATATATTAGCTCATCCAAAAATCTAGAACTGCAATTCACCACCTTACTACCACGAATAATCATCACATGATCATCTTGATCAACGCAGGAAAAAAAAACTTAAAAACAATTCATAATTTTGTAAATAAGTATTACCAAACTAGGAATAGAAACAAACCTATTTAATCTAATACCTACTAAAATTTACAAAAAAATATTATTCTTAATGGTGAAACATAAACTTTTTAGAGTAAAAATATGGCAACTACTTTTATCACTTCTATTTACCAACGTAATGGAGAGCTGAGCTGGGCCAGTAAACAAGGAACAGAGACTAACAAGCAAGTCTGGCCATTCACTCTTTACAGACAATCTAAGAAAACCAAAAACATCTATAGACAAAATATAGGAATTAAATGAGTCATATATACTAACTTAATCCAGCAGTGGGAATGAAAGAACTAGAGCTAAATTTTAAAATGTGGATAAATGTTACAATAGATATAATGAAAGACAAGTCACAGGTGATTACACATCATATGAGATCATTTCTATTACACTCAAAGCCAAACAAAATTATACAATGAATTGTTTAAAGTTCAAATACATGTGTTTTTAAATACCCTGTTTTAAAAGGAAAAGAATAACATAGTAGGGAATGACTGCCTCCAGAGGAGGTAGGGGAGCATCAAAGAGGAGCACCTATGTAGCTTCTAGTTCTCAAAATAGGGAAGGGGGAAATTGTCAGGAGTTTTTTACCAAGGGTTTTCTTTTTTAATCATGCTTTATAACTTGCATATACATTATACAGTTTTAATAAACCCATCCCCCATTACAAAAATAAAATAATTGAAGTTAGTAGAACAGCTCAAATAAATTATGGCCAGTAGATTTAAATGATAGGCTTAATTAAAATTTCCAGTGAAAGTAACTCCTCTGTAAAGGTTTCATTCACAGAAAGTAACAGGAAACACAATAACCACTACAAAACATGCCTTGAATTAATGCCTGTTACTCTAGGGAAAGTCAGCCGGCAAAGGAGAGGGAGGAACATAGCTGTTGAGCACCAGCCTTGAGCCAAGCCTAGGCTAGAAGCTCCTCATATCTTCCTTTATTCCATAAACCTATACAGCCCCTCACTATTCACCCATAAAAAGCCTTCTTTCCCTGGCCACCCCTCCAGCCAGCTCTACAGCACATAAGACCTCTCCTTTACAGTAATAAAAGTTTACCTTCTCATACCAAACGAAGCATGTATCTCTTCAAATAATGAATAATTTCTAAACAACCAACAGTTAATTTTCAGAATTTATAATTCAGTTATGAGCATAGCTCTCCTAGTATTCATAAATTTGGCACTTGTTTAATACACATGGGCAATAAAGACTATGCTTAATAGATCAAAAAACACTGCCAAGAGTTTTAGCTAGGAAAAGACTATGTGATCAACAAACAGAGACATAAAGACACAAATATCCCAACTCCACTAGTAGTCAGAAGGATATATATTTAAAACAGTGAGTTTTAAATTCAAAACAGTAAATATGTCATATTTACCTGCATTAAAAAGACAAACCATCTGCAGTATTTAGGTATAGGAAATTTATATAGAGTTACAATGTAAATTTGTATGGCCTTTATGGACAAACAAGTTAGCAATAGCTGTTACTATTTAAAATGTGCAGACTTTTATACCTAAAAACTTCACATCCAGTTACCCATGCAGGAAAAATTCTCCCATGTTCTTGAAAAAACAATCTCAGAAGCATTCTTTCCAGCATCTTTTCTGAAAGTGGATGGAAACAAGGAAGAAAAGAAGGGAGGAAGGAAACACATGTTCATCCATAGCCATTTCTATTTTTCTTCAAGTAAAATTAAAGATCTAAAATATCTTATTTTAAATAAGAATTTTAAAAACTAAAAGAATTAACCAAAACTTACTTCAAAAAGAAAGAGAATGGAGTCCAGCTCCTCCCTTTGTGACTTATTATTCCCTAGAAATTAAAATATAAAAGTTATCATAATGACATTTAAACTTTAGGATATCATAAATTAAAAGATATCTTAAAATACTTATAGTACAACATGCATATATTTACTCAGAAATACCTAGATGCAGTGTGGAGAACACATTAGGAATGTAGACAGCAAACTAAGTCACGTGGGTCCACATCCAGCAAAACTGCCCCTCACTCAAATTATGGTAGAATGCACGGAAAAACAAAGAAACAGTTCTAGTTTGGTAATGCAAACAGGCATACAACATGTAACATCTATAAAAAGCAGTATGATATAGTAACATCTCCCTCTAGCAGCAGTTACCATTTATTGTGTATTCTATGAGCCAGGCATTGTGCTAAGAATGTGGCTTATATCATCTAACTTAGGAATCAGGAAACTTTTTTCTGTAAAAGGCTGAATAGCAAATATTTTAGGCTTTGCAGGCCTCTCTAGCAACCATTCAACTTTGTCGTCATAATGCAAAAGCAGCCACAGCCAACACGTTAAGTAAATGGTTATGTGTCCAATGAAAGTTTATTTATAACTTTATTTATAAAAATAATCAGCAACTTTTAAGTTACAGGTTCCTGATCTAACTGAATCTTCACAGTTCTCTGAAGTAGGTATTATTCATTCCTTGAACAAATACTGAAATTAGCAATATTTTAGGCATTATTCTAGGCCTTAAGGGTATAGGAATAAACAAAACAGATACCAATCTCTCTGCCCTGGAGAAGATTACATTCTGGTAGGAAAAAGGCATTCTACAAATTAATAAGGGAGAGAAACAAAGAGAGAAAGCAGACTGGAAAGCCAAAAGGGGTAGTGTACAATTTTGACTAGTGAAGTCAGGTAACACCTTGCTGAGAAAGTAACAATTGAGCAAAGATCTACAACAGGTAAGGGAGCAAAGTATATGGAAGTTGGAGATAAGCCATATGGAGCCAGAAATAGTAGTACATGTCTGTAATCCAAGAACTAGGCAGGAGGATCATGAGTTCAAGGCCAGCGTGGGCTAAGTAGTAAGACCCTGTCAAAAAAAAAAGAAAAGAAAGAAGGAATAAAAAAAGGAGGAAGGAAAGAAAGAAAACAAAGCAGAAAAGAATTAGGAAATCTGAGGGAGGTATGCATGCTCCAGGCAGAGGAACTGGACAGTTCAAAGTCCCTGTGGCTGAGTGTGTTTGGCAGGGGAAGGAAATGGCCAAAAAGCACTAGAGGTGGGAGTGGAAGGAGGAGAATGTTGTAGCAGGTGAGTTTAGAGAGTAGGTAGAGCAAAAGAAGGCAGATTAGTTATAGCCTTTAGCCATTATAACAATTGGTGAACAAGAAGCCAGTTGAGGATTTGGAGCAGCAGTCATGATCTGGCTCATATTTTTAAAGCATGGCTCCAGCTACTCTTTAGAAAAGAGACTCTGAGATGGGGAGGGAACAAGTATGGAAGCAAGAAGGCCCTTTCTGAGGCTACTGCTACAGTCCAGGTAAAGACCAGGAGCTTCAGTGTTATCAACTTTAACAATAAGAAGAAACTAATGATTCCGGATGTGTTTTGAAAACAGAACCAGTAATTCCAGGTTTTGGCCTGAATAACTAAATGTAAGGCTGAAGTTATCATGAAATAATTTCACTGTTTCTAATAAGCATTTTATTCTTGTTTTTTTGTACATTTTCTTCCCTGCATTTCAATGGAAAACAGATTATACTAAAAGCAAGAAACTGCAATCCTGTACAACTACAATATGCTAATAATAATTTAAAAAAAGAAACTTCAAAAATCTTACCCTGTTTTTATTGGCTTTTCACTGAGCCTCTGTGTAGAGTGTAAAAACAAAAACAAAAAAAGTCACTGTCTTCTCCTCCCATCAAGAGATGTCACTTTCTCTATCCCTTAAATCTAGGGTGCCATGTGACTTGCTCTGACCAATGTGACATTAGCAAACATGAGGTACTTTGCTAGACCTGGGATTCTGAGGCTGTCATATGAAGGAGCCCAAACTAGCATTCAGCTAGCTGAAGAATGAGAGGCCACATGGAGGACTAAAGGTTGCAGTCAATAGTTTGCCTTTGCAAGACATGTGAATGAGGCCATCCAGTATCAGTTGACCTTAGAGACACAAACTGGCCTAAACGAGAACTTCCTAACAGACCTAGAATATTGTAAGCAAAATAGTGATTGTTTTAAAGCTAGAGTTGGTTTATTATGTAGCACAAATTAACTGGTAAGTGTTGAACCACCACATTACTCTAAAAGAATGGATGGAAGAGATGAGAAAAAGGGAAAGAAAGGAGAAAGGAAAAGGACCTTTTAAAAGTAGGATTTTTGGAGTAGTTGGCTGTTTTTTTTAAGAACTGGGATTTTAGGGGTTTTTTTCATTCCTATTTTGACTGCACACAATACACACTTTTCTCCTCAATATACCTGTGAAAGAAAAAAAATGCAACAAAGCTAGGAAGCAACACAAATACTAAATAATTTCATATTTGAAAAAACTACCAATTTGACCAAAAATTTTTAAAAATTAAGTTCTAGATTTACAACAATTTATAAATCACAGAGGTGGAAACTGAGCAATCCATTAAGGAAAAAAACATATTGGCAAACAGGGCACATAATCATTCATGACCTGATGGCACAACAGCCTGAAATATTCAGTACAATTTGAACCATTTACTATATGTCAGAGCTCATACAGAGCCTGGCCCCAAATCTCTTTCCCTCCGTGCTTGACATCTGCTTCTGTTTGACCAGAGCAATCAGTGCACTTGACAGGAAGCCCCTCAGTTTTTTCTCTCTACCCTAAAAAGTCTCTATGTCTACACTCATCCTATGTTTCCCTCCTTACTTTAAAAAGGTGTATTTTTCTGCATTCTCTTCTGTTCACCTGACTCTGTTTCAACCCACTTCCCTAATACCTGTATCAACAGTTACTCCCCTCTGCTGCCCTTCTCCTCAGCCTGCCAGCAGGCAGATGCAACCCTTAACAATCTTCCCATGATTCAGAAAGCTCAAAACTCTCTATCTCTGTCTTCACAACAAACTTTCTAAAAAGCTATTCTCCTGGGTAATCTTCCTTGCCCACTGCCTAGTGCTCCATGTCCACCTGTCTGGCTTCTGACTGGTTCCTCACCTAGAACGAACTATCCATCAGTAGTTAGCAATGAACTCTCATTTCATAGTCCTGCTGTGCCTCACTTTTCTGCTTCGTCAGGCTTTCCAATATTTTATGCCTTGAACCTCCTCTTCCCTGGACTTCTGGAACACACTTTTCTGACACCCCTCCCACAACTTTCTTCTTTATCTACCCAATAAAAAAGAGACTACCCCAAAAGTTCTAACCATTACTCTCTTTTCCTAAATATACTTTCTCACTTGGAAACAACATGATTTCACCTTCTTCATTCAAGCACCAGTCCTCTGTATTTCTACTACCCAGGCACTAACTACATACACCTGGCTGTCCCATAGGTACCTCACACAGACTATTCAAAGCTGCCCTCATCCTCTTACCTCCCAAATCTGGATCCCCTTCAGGGTTCCCACTGCCATAGCAGCACCTCACAAGTCAGACCTTGGTTCTTGAATGCCTCTTTAACTTCTCCCTCTTCTCTATAACCAGCCTTACAGATGGTGGTCACCACCTCACTGGATCAGGCCTCACCAGTTCTCACATAGAGGAGCAGCTCTCAAATGAATGACAACATCAGCTTCCTAACTGTTCTCCCTGCCTCTGATGCCCGCACCACTTTATAAGACACTTGTCTAGAAGCAAATGGTTTAGAGCGCTATCTAAAAACAAAGGGCAAACTACTTAGCCTAGAATTTCAAGGCTCCATGAAAACCTAATTTGAGTTCTTGTGTATCTCTTTTACACTCCTTATGTTGCAAGAAAAAGAAATGTATGCTTCACATACACCCTAAGCATAACCTTGCTGCTTTTGCTCAGGTTCTACCCTTTACCTCTACATCGTTCTCTTCCACTAAAGTCCAACCTTCAGCCCCATCCACCCTACCTACAAGAATAGGAGTGGATCTGAGGTTGAGTTGATCACCAATGTCAGTGATGTAATCACTTGTGCCTACATGAAGCCTCTATAGAAATCCAGAGTTCAGGGAGCTTCCAGGTCCATAAGAACACATCCACCTGCCTGGAGGGTGGTACATCCCAAATCCAGGTGAAAGAAGCTCCTGTGCTTAAGACCATCCAGACCTCACCTGCAAAACTCCTTCTGACTGCTCATTTGCATCCTTTTAAATTTGTGTTATCTATTTGTAACAAATGGGTAGATTTGTAATAAATGGGTAAATAAATAAGGTGTGAGATCCTGCATTCTGTGAAATGTTCTAGCAAATTAATTGAACCCAAGGAGTGGGTCATGGGAACCCCTAATGATAGCCAGTTGGTTGCAGGCATAGGTAATAACCTGAAGCTTGGGACAGGCATCTGAAGCGGGCACAGTCTAGTGGCACTCAGCCTTTAACCCAGAGAATCTGATACCATCTCCAGTTAGCCCATGTCAGAACTGAATTGAGTTAGAGGGGACCCACCTGGTGCCCACTAGAGAATGTGACATCAGAATGTTGTGTTGAATGGTGTGAGAGAGTAGGAAAAAGAGATTGGTTTGTTTTTTCTAATTAAAATAATTTCCCAAACAGATTACATAAAAACAAAGATGAAAATAGCAACATAGCTAACACTTACTGACCATGTACTATGTGGCAAACTCGGTCCTAAAATCCTAGGATACCTGTTAACCTACTGTTTAATGCTGACACGAAGAAGCCAACCCAGAGAACAGTTAAGTAACTTGCCCAAGGAGTAAGAGAAGGGTAGGACTAATTTGGTTCACCAGATACACTACTTTGCCACGTAAATACATAGCAGGATGAAAATGTGACATTACTGATTTTCTTTTCAAAGAGTATTTTACATATGGGAATAACTATAAAAATATGAACTCATAATACATTAATAATATATATGAGAGGAAATGCAGGAAATTTTGTATAGTGGTTGTCTCTGCAAAATAGGACTAGAGGTCTGGGAAAAGCAGACACTTCCATTTTCATTTTAAACCCTTTAATGAAATTCAAAATTTTTAAGAGTGTACACATATTTTTCCTTCTTTTTTTAAAGTAAATTATTTCTTTGGAACTCATGCCTTTTGTGTGTTCCTTCTATTTTTTCCTTAGTCATTTATTATTCAATTAACACCTGCATACATGAAAGCTCAAGGGAAACAAAGATGCAACCATTCCACCAAGATCTCACAGTTTTGCTAAAGGCCTGAAAGAAAGCTTAAAAATGTACAATTTGTGGCTCGTGACATGCATAACTTCTAAAACATTTTTTTAATTGTAAAATGCTTACCTTTTAATTTCAAACTATTTTCCAGTGTTACAAAATTTTCATAGAAGATGAAATATATTTGAGAATAGTTGGTCTCAAAAAACTGCTTAAGATCGCTTGCATCCACATTATCTGAAAAGAAAAGTTCCATTTACACAATTATTAGAATTCAGAAGCAGCATTTCCAAAATGAAGGAAAATAAAGCTAGTCTTACCCACTTATAAGACAAAACAAATCACATTCCCATTTATTCTTCACATAAGAGTTCTGAATTGCACTTGAGGCACCATCCACCACAGAGATCTATCCAAGAGGTTGTGAGGCTGACTCAAGGAAGTCAGAGCCAATGGAGGCACAGCACTCATAGACTAACTAGAGATCAAAGATGGGGGAGTTGGTTGGAGGCATGGCTCAAGTTGTAGAGCTCTTGCCCCAGAAGCACAAAGCCCGGAGTTCAAACCCCAGTATGGAAAAAAAGAAAGAAAAAAGGTGAGGGAGTGGGCAAGTCTGGGGAGAGACCCAGACTAATAGAAAGATGGCTTTCTATTAGGATAGGAAAACAGGGGTTCATGGAAGGGCAGCTTTTGACCTGGAAGAGGAATAGGTTTGTACCTCTGGAAAATTTAGCTGGTGGAAGGTCTATATGGATTAAACTCTACTCTCTTCCCACCAACATAATTCTCTAGGCATGAAAAGGGAAACCAGATCAAGTGAACTAGCATGTGTTCCCACATCCACCCAGTCACATCCTTTTGGGCCAATATGTGCTGCTTTCCCTCTAGCTTCTAAGTGACCTGTCCTCACTCTTACTCAGACATTATGGGACCTGCCTGTGTTCCTAGAGCTGTGTCTGTTGTACCATACAGTTTTACTAAGACCAGGAACAGTGTGTGGACAGGCAGGCAGAGCAGGGAACTTAGCCCAGCAACCACTCCTACTGGGGATGAGCAGCAACACAGCTACATCTTCCAACGATCTCAATCAGCTAAGGCAAAACCTCACAACAGAGTAGTTATCCAGTATCAACACACTTGTACATTTTCCTTAGCTAACACGTTTGTTTGTACCATTTACAGCGTCCTGACCAAGGAGTTAATGCTTTAGAATACACTAGGACCTGAGGAAAATTAAAAGTCTCTTTAAAATTCTATAAGGATTACTCAAGAAAAAAAAAATGTGTTGCCATTCAATCTGCAACAGAATGATGTCAACTGCTTTTGAAGTCCTAATACTGTAAATGTATATGACTGTATGCCTATTGCTATGTTCAAATTCTATAAAGCTAACAAAAATGCAAATGGATCTAAAGGATTTTTCCCTTTGATTACCAGATAAGGTCTTTTCAGGACTGGAGGTGTGGCTTAAGCACTAAAGCATCTGAAAAGACTTTCTGCAAAGTCTAAGTTCAAGTCTAGTCACATCAAAGAAAAAGAATAAACCCTTTCCATTTAAAAATCTTCCTTGGTTCTTTGAAATGATGCATGTGGTTTTATAAAGTCATATTAGCTGCCAATTTCACATTATATTTACTGCACCAAAATAAAATTGAGCATAGAGAAGTAGAAATTCCTAATAACTAAGTTATCTGTGTGAAAACAGGTAACAATGAAACTAGTATCATCATCAGTGTCTAAAAGGTCTCTCAAATGAAACAAGTCCAAAGGGAAACTCTCCCCTTAGGTTAAGTACTTCCCTCAGACTGTCCTAGCTCAATAACTTGGCATCATCAGACATTCAGCTGCTAGAGCCAAAGCCTGACTTCCCGGAGTTGCTCCTTTGTTACTCATCTCCAACATATCACTCTGCCTGTCATATCTAACATGTGTTCACGCCTAAGCTACTTTTGCCCTCCAAGGCTCTGTCTGGTCTACATTACCATAAATTCTCATAGGGACTGTGACTATCACCCACTTTCCTAGGCTTTCTGCTTCCATTCTTTCCCCTTTACCCAAGGCACCCAACATGTGAAAATTTAACAGTGTCATGAAGTCAGATCACTCCTTTACTTGAACCAGTCTAATAGCCTCCAATACAGTACTTCAAACAAAATCCAAACTCTTCATCATGGCCCACATGGCGCTAAATGTTTTTCCCCATGGACGCCCACCTTCATTGCATACCACTGTCCCCCTCAAAGCATACACTCTCACCACTATGGCTTCTTTCCAGTCCTCAAAGTTCCCAAACATGTTCTCTATTTGGGGTCTCTCAAGGATACTGGTCCCACTCCCAGATCTTCACATGGCTGGTTTGGTCTCATCCTTCAGAAATAGGATCATACATCACCTCCTTAAAGAAATCCGCAAGTGCCCCATGTATCACTCTGAACTTTTCATCCTCTCCTCTGCCTTCTCCCTTGGTAAGACTCTGCAATCAATGGGCCTCAGACACAGAAGGCCATAATGAAGCAAAGGATTTCCCTAGCACAAGGGATACGAGTGCACTGATGGGACAAGATGACACAGAAAGGTTACTGGGAGATCAACAAGCTATCCCTCGACTTGGTCCCTCTAAGATACACAAAGTATCAGCAACCTGAACAAACAGAAGCCTCAAGAACTTTGGAGAGCCTTCATATAGAGATGCTCTTGTAAAGCAAGAAGTCCAAACAGAAGCTACCTTTTTCCCTAGCCATCCAGTATTTTCTGCACATAAGGCGTAGATGGTGCTAAGCTTAAAGCAATCATTGGCAGGACAAAGCAATCCAATACACAGTGAAGCTAGAAGGGTAACACTGGTAACATGCTCAGTTTATCTACATCTGATAAACTCCTCCTTGTTCTGAGAGTCTTCACATGGTTACCCTCTATAGCATTCAAGACTAGTTGAAATTACCCCTCTTACTTATTTCCCCTATTGTTTGTTAGAATGTAAACTGCATGAGGGTGGGGAGTACCATGTGCTTTGTTCACTGATGCTTGATACATAAAAGGCTCTCAACACCTATTTGTTAAATGAATAAAGAATATCGAATGTTTTATATCTCTAACTCAAAATCTAGAGTCACTTCTCGTTAGTCTGGTTTTTTTTCAAAGATTCATCAAAATAAAATGTGCAGGTCTTGGGAAAGGCAACCAGGGCACTGGAATTTAGCATGCTGCACAAAAGAAGCACAAGAGACTATCAAAAGCCTAATTTTTAGTAAGGGTAACTTGAAGGAGCAAAGAGATATAAAGGAAGACTTTGCTCAGAAAAACATACTACAGCCACAAACTTCCTTTAGACAGACTTTCTTGATCCATTCATTCAAACTCTTATGGAACCCCTACCGATGCCAGTTAGTGCTGTGTTTAGTGCTAAGAAATTCAAAGAGAATACTACTCAAGGTGATAAAGGTTGTACAGGTGAACAAACCATCAACAACAGCAAGGGCAACAGAGTTGAAGTTGAAGCTCATATTGGGCACAAGTCAGAGAATGGATAACATCATACAAGGAGCGTGGGAATATTAAAATGCCATACATTTATGATTTGATTTGTGCTTAAAAAGACACTTTCATGAATATATGCTATTCCACTCTCACCACAGCCCCATAAAGTAGAACAGGGCAGGTGCATCCAGAGAAAGAAACCTCAGGATCCTGGATCTTATGTGACCTGCTCAAGGTAACACAGCCAGTCAGGACATGGGCACCACTCCTGCCTGGGACTTCTGACTCCAAACCATAGCAGTACAAAGGTTTCAGAGGCAAATGGGACAAATCAAAACTAAAAGTCAGGTCAAGAGTTCAGAAGCTATAAGAAAAGGGTATTAGGAGGGTGAATATAGTGGAAATATGTACTCATGTATGAAAATGGAAAAATGAGACCTGTTGAAACTATTCTAAGAATGGAGGGAGGAGGGATAAAGGAGAATGATGGTGGCGATGAATTAACTAAGATATATTGTAAGCACTTTTGTAAATGCCACAATGTATCCCCAGCATAATATGATGATAATAATAATAACAATAATAATTTAACAACAAAAAAAGAATTTAGAAGAAGTAAATGACCCCCTTGGAGAAGGGCAGGAGAGGCACAGGAAAAGAAGCAGGAGGAAAAGTCCAAGGTAAGCAGCCAGAGGGAGTGAGCAACACAAAAGCAGCAGCTCATGCACCTTCTCACAGCCTCAGGGGCTCCTGAGAAAAAGAGTGAGGGGAGGACAAAGCCAGGCTACACAGCCAGATTGGAAACAACATTTGATCCTCAGTGTCTGACAAGGACTCTAGCATGTTGTCTTACTACTATCATAAAACTCAGTTTATTATGCCCAAATTAACTTTAGAGAAGTGAGTGGCAAGCCTTATAAAGCTTGTGGTCATTTCCAAATTTTTAAAGTAATCCTTAATTACTCATTCTCCTTCACCAACAGTCAGTAAACTGTATCTATCATTTTCCTATTATATCTCAAAGATAATCTATTTACCACACCAAAACTCACCCTTCTCTCACCCATTTGTCCACCTAAACATGTTGTTGGCAATTTTCCACACCTAGCTGAACAGCAACAGCAAAACCTTGGGAGAACACTATCTCAGCTCAAGTGCAAAAGCTTCAGAATCATGGACAAGTTAAACAGTTTCTCAATCTAGTCTGAAAAATGGGGTTAACCATGGTTCCTGTGCTGCTGGGCTGCTGTGACAATAAAATGAGCATATGCCAAGTTCTTATAAGATTGACTGTCAGTCAGCACTATATAAATGCTAGTTGCTTTTTATAATTACTTAGCTCCTGGCAAAGGCAAGGTAGTAGTAACCCAGTCTCACCTACCTATGAAGCCATAGAACCCAGTGACTCAGAAATTCATTTACTTAATGAGACTATCCCATATTAAATAGCACTTAATCCCAATACAACAGTAAACACTGCCAACAAACATATCATCAAAACCAGTGGGATTAACCCTTTCTTCTTCCACATACAATGCATTTGCACATTCCACACACAATTGCTTTTTCAATGGCAATTCTACTGCTTTTTAGAAATGGGGCACAACACAGCCTCATGAAAAATCTTCTTCCACAGACCCCCTAGACAGCACTAAATTGAGGAGAAAAGTCTTTATCCTACTCAGGAGCCCCAGCTGGATGCTATCAATAGGAAGAGGTCATGCTCAGCTCCTCCCTGGTAGGAAATAATCCCCATAACC